GGTATCTCAATACAAACAGACGTTAAGACTTATTCCTTCCAGGCAATTACTCACGAGAACACCAACCGCTGGGTAATGAACGCAAGAGGACCCATTCTCTAAATAATGCCATTTGCAGCAACATGGATTGACCTAGAGACAATCATACTAAGTGAAGTAAGTCAGACAGAGAAAGACAAATATCGTACGGTATCATTTATATGTAGAATCTAAAAAAGTGACACAAATGAACTTACAAAATAGAAATAGACTCACAGACATAGAAAACAAACTTATGGTTACCAAAGGGGAAGGTGGGGGACAGATAAATTAGGAGTTTGAGATTAACAGATACACACTACTACATATAAAATAAATAAACTGTATAGCACAGTTTATTGAACTATATTCAATATCTTGTAATAATCTATAATGGAAAAGATTCTAAAAAAGAATATATATATATTTATATGTATAACTGAATCACTTTGCTGTACACCTGAATCACTGTAAATCAACTATACTTCGATTGAAAAAAAAAAAAAAGAGTACCCATTCTCTCTTTGCTTTGCAAAAATTTTGTACACATCTGAAAGGATAAAGCATGCTTGCTCTTCCTAAAACATATGACCAGGAGCATTTCCTGTGCCTTCATTTCCATCCTATCACTTCCTTTCTCAGGGTTCCTAAGTGGCCCTCTGATCAATTGCAACTCCTAAGCAGGAGGCTCAACAATCATCCTGAATCACCTCCTCCTGCCTCTCTCACATGTGACAGTGTTCTTGCCTCCAAGTGATCACAAAGGCCAGTCAGCCCCCAGATTGCCCCCTGCCACTTCAAAACTTTATTTTAAATTGTGCTAGTCCTGAATAATTCTGTGGCAAAACCATCAGCATTTGGATCCCTTTGTGTACAGCAGCTATGTGGTGTAGTAGGAAAAACACTGGAGGAAGGAGAGCAAGATTTTCCTTGCAGCAGTCAGGATGATTTAGGTGGCAAGCAACAGAAAATCCTGCATCAAAGTGGCTTAACCACTAAAGCCATTTATTATCTCATTTATAAGCTCTTAACTGGGAGCCCAGAGGTGAGCGGCTCCAGGCCAGGCAAAGATCATTAGCTCAAGATGTCATCATGGGCCCAGGTTCTTTCCATCTCTTTGCTCCACTCTACTCAGTGTCAGTTTCATCCCAGACTGGTTTCCCAAATGACTGCAAGATGGCTGCCGGGGGGAATCAGTTCTATAGATGGCCTCATTTATGTCTGGATGGAGAGTGCAGGAGTGAAACTGTCACCACTGACCAGGAAATATAAGTCCTTCCCTTCAGTCTGATCGAGCCGATTTAGGTATGAGTCTACCCTGACTAACAACAGGGCCTTGCCTGTGGGACTGGGTTAGACTTTTCACATTTCTCCTTTTGAGCTGGCATGCATAGAACTGGAACAACACCAGGGTTCTGATAGGAAAGAGGAAACATATTGTGAAATTAAGTAGACACACGACAGTCTCCACCTGGAGACTGGTCCTGGCTCTGCTCCTTGCTAGTTGTATGATCTTAAGTAAGTCATTTGACCCCTCTGAGCCTCATTCTTTTAAAATAAAAAAGGAGGGAAATTTTAGCCCCACAGAAGGATCAAAAGAGATCATGGAAATAAAAAGCACTTTAAAAACTGAGTTCTATACCAAAGAGGTAGACAGGGTTGGTCCCTCCCACTGTCCTCAGCTCACGGTGCACTCACGCACCACAGTACAAAGCGTACTCGTCCTTAGGCCACCCAGGCTCCAAAACACTTAACAAAACAGCTCTGGGGGTAGGGTTGCCAGATTTAGCAAATGAAAATACAGGATGCCCAGATATACTTGAATTTCCGATAAATAATACTTAGTACCAAGTGTTCCCCAAATATTGCATGGGACTTATACTAAAAAAATGATTCATTGCTTATCTGACATTCAAATTTAACTATGTGTCCTGTACTTTATTGGGGAATCTGTACCTGTGAAAGACTTGGTCAGGATCAAGGGGCTAGGCTTGGATTTCTCTTCTGTCTTTCCATCAAATCCTGGTTAGTGCTTTTTGCAATAATTCTCTCCCTAATCACTCACACTCCTGATGTCCCCCCTAAACGCAGCCTCCACTCTCTTACCCATCTCAGTTGATGGCCCCATTCCCCCAGCTGCTCAGTTCCCAACGTTGGAGCCACCCAGACTCCTCCCTTCCCCTCCCAGCCTGCTCGCTGTCCTGCCTGCTCTACAGTCACAGTACAACCTGGAGACCCTCACCACCTGCACGTCTGCCACCCTCTCCTGGCCACCAAGCCCCGCTCTTGCCCTCCAGGGTCAGCCAGCCTCCTGATCCTTATCCAAGGGTCAGCTTGCGCTCCCCTATGGCCCATTCTCCACACAGCACCAGAGGGGCCTTTTAAAAGCATCTGTCAAATCATGTCTCCACCGGCTTAAAATCCTCCCCCAGTTGCCGTGGCTCTTAGACTAAAAACCAAGCTCCATACTATGGCCTCTAAGATCTTACCCAAATTAGCCCTACCCTCCTTTCCCACCCAACTGGTCCTTTTTCTCATCCTCCAAACGCTGAGCTCACCCCCACCACTGGTCCCAGAATGAGTTTCCCTCCACGGCCACGTGACACACTTCCTCATCATATTCAGATCTCACCCCAAATGTCACCTCCTCAGAGAAGCCTTCCAGGACCATTCTATCCAGAATAGCAGCCCTCACGCTCCATCACTGTTTTCCGCCTTTCCCCACTTTATTTTCTTTGTTTCAATATCACTCTTTGACACCTGATTTTTAAAATTTATTTATGATCTTTTTTCCCTCTCCCCACCCCTCCAGTAAAATATAAGTGCTGGACTTAAACTGTTTAAGGTATACAAGCACCTAGGGCCGTGGTTAGCAGAGTCATGACTCAAGAAACATTTGTTGAGATATAGAGAACAAACTAGTGGTTACCAGTGGGGAGAGGGGAGCGGGGGAGAGGCAACATAGGGGTAGGGGATTGAGAGGTACAAACTATTATCTATAAAATAAGCTACAAGGATCTGTCTTGTACAACACAGGGAATATAGCCAATATTTTATAATAACTATAAATGGAGTATAACCTTTAAAAATTGTCAATCAATATATTGTACACCTGTAACTTATATGAAATTGTACATCAACTATATTTCAATTTAAAAAAAGAAACATTTATTGAATGAGTGTCAAATGAATATGCATAGATATGCAAGTGAAGATGCTAGATATTTTGTAGATCTGCACTGTCCAATCCAACAGCCACTGGCCACACATGCTACTGAGCCCTTAAAATGGTGCTAGTCGAAATTCAACTGTACTATACATGTAAAATACACACAAGATTTAGACGGCTTTGCTGAACAAAAGGAATGTAAAAATAACTCATACATAACTTTTTATTGATTACAAGTTCAAATGATAGTATTTTAGATGAATTGATTAAATGAAATATAGTATTAAAATTAATTGTACCTGTTTCTTTTTCCTTTCATTTATGTGGCTACTAAAAAATTTTTAAATATATATTGGCATTGCATTGGTGGCTCACATAATACTTTTACTGGACGGCAATTCTCCAGACCACAGGCTGGGATGAGGGTGCTTTTGATACTTGCCACTTACAGACCTAGACCCTTAACACGCTCCTTTCTCTGCCTTCTCTCCCAAGCCCAGCAGAACTTAGAGCAACCAAAGTGACTCCTTGACATCTTTTTCACCAGAGAAATAAAACCTACTGTTTGATCTATGGCAAGGCATTTGTATTAGTCAGGGTTCTCCAGAGAAACAGAACCAATAGGATATATATAGATATATATAAGAAGATATACAGATATATATACATGTTTCTGCACAGCGAAGGAAACCATCAACAAAATAAAAAAACAACCTACTGAATGGGAGAAAATATTTGTAAATCATATAGCCAATAAGTGGTTAATATCCAAAATATATAAAGCACTCATACAACTCAATAGCAAAAAAAAAAACAATCCAATGAAAAGTAGGCAGAAGATCTGAATAGACATTTTTCCGAAGAAGACATACAGAAGTAACAAAAGGCATATGAAAAGATGCTCAACATCACTGATCATCAAGGAAATGCAAATCAAAACCACAATGAGATATCACTTCACACCTGCTAGAATGGCTATCATCAAAAAAGCGGGAAATAACGAGTGTTGGTGAGGATGTGGAGAGAAGGGGACCCCTGTGCACTGCGGATGAGAACGTGAACTGGTGCAGCCACTGTGGAAGACAGTATGGAGGTTCCTCAAAAAGTTAAAAATAGAACTACCATCTGATCTAGTAATTCCATTTCTGGGTATTTGTCCAAAGAAAATGAAAATACTAACTTGAAAAGATATATGCATCCCCATGTTCATTGCAGTATTATTACAGTAACCAAGATATGGAAACGTGTCTCTCAATGGATGAATGGATAAAGAAAATGTTTATAGATATAAAATGTGTGGAATATTATTCAGCCATAAAAAAGAATGAAATCCTGCCATTCACGACAACATGAAATGGACCTAGAGGGTATTATGCTAAGCGAAATAAGTCAGAGAAAGACAAACACCATATGATTTCTCTTATACGTGGAATCTAAAAACAAACAAAGCCAGCTCATAGATGCAGAGAATAGATTGCTGGTGGCCAGAGACAGGAAGTGGAGGTGGGAAAAACAGGTAAAGGGAGTCAAAAGGTACAAACTTGCAGTTATAGAATAAATAAGTCATGGGGATGTAATGTACAGCATGGTGACTACTGTATTGAATATTTGAAAGTTGCTAAGACAGGAGATCTTAGTTCTCATCACAAGAAAAAATATTTTAACCATGTGTGATGACAGATGTTACCTAGACTCGTGATAGTGATCATTTTGCAATACATACAAATACTGAGTCATTACGTCAAACACCTGAAATTAATATAATGTTATAGGTCAATTATACTTAAATTTAAAAAAAAGAAGAAGAGGGGAATTGACTCACGTGGTTATGGAAGACGAGAAGTCCCGAAATCTCCTGTCTGCAAGGTGGAGAAGCAGGAAAGCTGGTGGAATGATTCAGTCTGGGTCCAAAGGCCTGGAAACCAGGGGACCAGTGAGTTAACACACTCACAGATATCTGCAGAAAAAATGACTTACCAGTTATTGGGCATCCCTTAGCCCAGTCAAGTCCGCACATACAACTAACCAGCACAGCACCCTCCATAGTAATGAAAAGACATGTAAATAGAATGACTGCTTCATAGTAAGGGTGCAATCAATGTCAGCTAGCCATGTTTGGGGTTTTATTTTTGCAACAATTATTTATTTTTGGCCTAATCATTCAGTATGTTATAAACTACTCAAAAAAGGGGATCATGCCTTCATCTTCATTTGTAACTTGCCAAGTCTAGAGGCCCTGCACATCCTTTACCACCTTTACAGGTAAGTGACTGATCAACCAGCAGCCTCCCTCTCCATCATAGTGGCTTCAGGGCAAAGCCACAGAGAATTGACTCAGCCTTAAAATGTCATATGAATCATGATGCCAAAATGATTCACGCCCACCTTAGAATGCAGCTAATTCTGTCCACCTCAACTGGCTTGCCTTTGCTCTCCTAAGAGTCTGGGATTACATTTATTAACCTGAGAAGGGAATGGGGTCTGGAGAACACTCAGTAACCTGCTGGGCTGGGAGGGAGTTTGAGACTGCATGAGTCTCCAGCTTCTACCTGACACTGAGGCCTCACCAGGGAACTTCCAGAGAAAGGTCTTTGGGAACCACAGCGTCATTTAGTGATAGGGACAGAGAATGGGTGGAGACTGACCTAAAGAGCAGGCAGTTGTACAGAAGCTGCCTATATTGATCACAGCTCCTCAGACAGAGAGCTATATCCAGCTGGGAAGTTCAAAGAGAAGGGACATTGATGAAAAGATGCTCAACATTGTTAATTATTAGAGAAATGCAAATCAAAACTACAATGAGGTATCACCTCACACTGGTCAGAATGGCCATCACCAAAAGTTCTGCAAATAATAAATGCTGGAGAGGGTGTGGAGAAAAGGGAACCCTCCTACACCGTTGGTGGGAATGTAAATTGGTGCAGCCACTATGGAGAACAGTATGGAGGTTCCTTAAAAAACTAAAAATAGAACTACCATATGATCCAGCAATCCCACTCCTGGGCATGTATCCACAGAAAACTCTAATTCAAAAAGATACATGCACCCCAATGTTCATAGCAGCACTATTTACAACAGCCAGGACATGGAAGCAACCTAAGTGTCCATCCACAGATGAATGGATGAAGAAGATGTGGCACATATATATAATGGAATATTACTCAGCCATAAAAAGAATGAAATAATGCCATTTGCAGCAACAATGGATGGAACTAGAGATTATCATACTAAGTGAAGTAAGTCAGACAGAAATCAAATATCATATGACATCACTTATTTGTGGAATCTAAAAAATAATGCAAATGAACTTATTTACAAAACAGAAACAGACTCACAGAAATAGAAAACAACCTTATGGTTGAAAGGGGAGGAGAAAGGATAAATTAGGAGTTTGGGATTAACAGATACACGCTACTATATATAAAATATATAAACAACAAGGACCTACAGTATGGCACAGGGAACGACATTCAACATCTTGTACAATAATAACCTATAATGGAAAAGAATCTGAAAAAGAATATATATATGTATACATATAGACATATATAAAATATAAAACTGAATCACTTTGCTGTATACCTGAAACTAATACGACATTGTAAATCAACTATACTTCAATATTTTTTAAATAGGGAGGTTGATACCCACACCCATGTGCCAAAGTCATCCATATTTTTTGTTCTTTAACTTTCCCTGCTGTGAAATCTTTAATCCCTGACTTCTTCCAGTTTTACTTGCTTCCCAGAACTGTCCACTCATCTGCCCTCTAGGGAATGATGAGTCCTTCCTCATTCACAATCATTCAAACAAGGCTGCAACCTTCCATGCATTTTCCATAAGAAGCATCTTTTAAATTCATCTTAGAGGATGACTCTTTCTCACTGTCATTCATCAGTGTTGACATCTAAGAATGACTAAGCCAGGTGACCTGGTTCCCTGTAGCAAACAGAAATAAATCTGAGGGCTCACAGTCTTTAATCTGCCAGGTCTCCTTCCCCAAAACTGGTCACCCCACACGTAGGTTTCTTGCCATGGTCTTATGAAGTTAAGTGCTCTGGCTCTCAGAAGTCCCTAAATTCTTTAAAAGATGTAAATGCTTTGTTCTCTCAATTTTAAAAGGGCATGTAAAGGGACTAGGGCTGCCACGATAAAAGTGACTGTTTAGAAGTGAATATTCCAGATTCTTCCTTAGCATCAGGTCTGCAGTGTTAACCTTATTCCAGGAGGATGCAGGAACTTCCTAGGCAGATAATTTGGCTCAGGAGAGTCATCACTTCAGCCAACATTTTGTATTTTATATCTCTACTCTTCCCAAGGCATGAGTTTCAAAAGGCATACTGCATGGGGTTAATTCATTGCCAATCAGACTAAGCTCTCTCTAGATTTACATCAAAACTGTACTTTTATGCACATTTCTTTCCTTAGCCTAAGTGAGAAGGCTTCAGATAAAACCCAGCTATGGACTGGACTGGTCTGAACATATTCTTAAAACAATAATTCCAACTGAGCAACTTGTTGTGAAGAAATAACCAAAAACTACATTTCAACAATGACCTAGAAAAGAAAAAGAAAAACCACAGGTGAAAAAATGTTTATCCTCAATAGTAATCAAAGAATGCATATATGATATCATATTTTTTCAAATTAGCAAATATAAAAATAATAATAATCTCCACTGCTGGCCGAAGTATGGAAAAGTAGGCATTTTCATATACTGCTTTTGAGAACATAGGTTGGTATAAGTTTTTGAAGAACACGTGCAAGATAACAGAAGTCTTAAAGTATGCTTACTTTTTGGCCCAACAATTCCACTTCAAGGAATTTATCCTAAACATGATTTTTTTAAACCCAGTAGGTACCTAAGGACTTTTTTATAATCCAGTTGTAATGATCCCAATCTCTGGGAATGGGACCCAGGCAACAATATCCTCTAAAGATCTCCAGGTAAATCCAATGTGCCACCCAGTTTGAGAACCACTGTTCTAAGGACTTTACATGTATTGTGCCCCTTAGTCCTCATAATAAACCTGTGAGGCCCAATTAGTATCCCCAATTTATAGATGAGATTTCAAGACTTAGCAGGGTTTAAATAAACTTGGCGAAGTTTACACAGCTAGTAAGGGATCGAGTTGGGAATTGGACGGAGGCAGTATAGCTCCAGGCCTAAGCATGTGAGCCTTACAGACTCAGAGCTGAGCTTCAGAGGAACAGCTGAGCTTTGATAGAAGGCTTCCCCAGCCACCTCAGCGACTGAAGGGTTACACTGGCCTGCATCAGCTTTCTTGGTGAAACATCCTCTTTTCTGGCTTTGATCCTAACCCCACTCTTCCCTCTCCGCTCCCAGCACAACTCCTCCATCTGGCTCACACAGGGTGTGAGAAGACAAAGTCTCTCTGAATCACCACTTCCAGGCAGCTTTTAATAGTAACTACTATGCTCAAACGAGAAAGAGTCTCTTGTTTCCATAATGGAGAAAGTAGCCCAAATCCCAGACACCACCATGGCCCTGACCAATGGATGTGGGAAACCCCTGGGAAGGAACAGGGCCATATCAAAGACCTCCCACCGGGCAGGTTGGATATCAGGTTTGGAGACACTTCTCCGACCAGCCCTGCAGACCCAGCTGCCTTGGAATAGGTCAGGCATACATCACGCTCGCTACTTAAGGAGGCCACAGTAGCACCACCTAGAGGATGTCATCAAAACGCAACTTTATTTCTATCTCCCATTGTCCCTTTAAAATATATTCACAGATGGGACTTCTCTGGTGGTCCAGTAGCTAAAGACTCTGCGCTCCCAATCCAGGGGGCCCAGATTCAATATCTGGTCAGGGAACTAGATCTCACATGCATGCTGCAACTAAAGATCCCACATGCCACAACTAACACCCGGCACAGCCAAAATAAATAAATATTTAAAATATATTCACAGAGAAGCTGGATCACTCAAACACTGCCAATGGAAATGCAAAATGTTCAGCCACTCTGGAAAGAGTTTGGCAGTTTTTTAAAAAACTAAACGTGCAACGACCATATGACCTATCAATGACACTCCCAGGTATTTATTCCAGGGAAATGTAGACAGATTCACACAAACACATAGAAACAAATGTTTACAGCTGCTTTATTGGTAACAGCCAAAAACTGAAAACAGCCCAGACGTCCTTCACTGGGTGAATGGTTTAAACAAACCGTGGAACATGCATACCATGAGACACTTACTCAGCAATAAAAAGGAAAGAACTATTGATTCAGGTGACAACTTAAATGAGTCTCCAGGAAGTCAGGGTGAGTGAAAAAGGTCAATCCCAATCATAAGCCTTTTAGCTTTGTGACAGTTTACCCCCACGTGTGTGTCTGTGACTTTGAGGTAAATTAAAAAATATGCTTACTTTCAAAACTGGGGACGAAAATATATAACACAGGGTGATGAAATGAGATAACATGTGTCAGACACATAGTACAATTCCTGTCAAAATATGCACCCTTATGAACACCCCAGCAATTTTTTTTAACATCTTTATTAGAGTAAAATTTCTTTACAATGGTGTGTTAGTTTCTGCTGTAAAACAAAGTGAGTCAGCTATACGTATACATATATCCCCATATTCCCTCCCTCTTGCATCTCCTTCCCACCCTCCCTATCCCACCCCTCTAGGTGGACACAAAGCACCGAGCTCATCTCCCTGTGCTATGTGGCTACTTCCCACTAGCTAGCTATTTTACATTTGGTGGTGTATATATGTCCATGCCACTCTCTCACTTCGTCCCAGCTTCCCCTTCCCCCTCCCATGTCCTCAAGTCCATTCTCTATGACTGCGACTTTATTCCTGTCCTGCCCCTAGGTTCTTCAGAACCTTTTTTTATTTTTAGATCCTGTATATATGTGTTAGTATACGGTATTTATTTTTCT